TTTATAAAGAACTCAAGAAATTAGACATCAAAATGCTCAGCAGTCCAATTAAAAATGGGCTATAGAACTAAACAGAGAATTCTCAACAGAGGAAACTCAAATGGCTGAAAGACATTTAAGGAATTGTTCAACATCCCTAATCATCAGGGAAATGCAAATCAAAAAAACTCTGAGATACCACCTTACGCCTGTCAGAATGGCTAAGATCAAAAACACTGAAGACAGCTTATGCTGGAGAGGATGTGGAGCTAGGGGAACTCTCCTTCACTGCTGGTGGGAAAGCAAGCCTGTACAACCACTTTGGAAATCAATATGGTGCTTTCTTAGAAAATTGGGAATCAATCTCCTCCAAGATCTAGTTATACCACTCTTGGGCATATACCCAAGGAATGCTCAATCTCACCACTAGGACCCTTGCTCAGCTATGTTGATATCAGCATTGTTTGTAATAGCCAGAACCTGGAAACAACCTAGATGCCCATCAACTAAAGAATGGATAAATAAAATGTAGTACATATACACAATGGAATACTACTTAGCAGGGAAAAACAATAACATCATGAGGTTTGTAGGCAAATGGATGGATCTAGAAAAAAATCATCCTGAGTGAGGTCACCCAGACTCAGAAAGACAAACATGGTATGTACTCACTCATAGGAGGATACTAGATGTCAAGCAGGGATGACTAGACTGCTACTCACAACTCCAGGGAGGCTACCTAGAGAGCAGGACCCTGAGAAAGACACTGGGATCACCAGAGAATGACAGAGAAATGGATGAGATCTACACGGACAACCTGGACATGAGTGGGGGTAATGAAGGGCAAGGGTTGAGGGAAAGAGAGCTTGGGGTAGCGGGAGATCCCAGCTGGATCAAGAACAGAGGGGGAGAACAAGGAATAAAAGACCATGGTAAATGGAGACCACATGAAAATAGGAAGAAGCAGGGTGCTAGAGAGGCCCACAGAAATCCACAAAGATACCCCCACAATAGACTGCTGGCAATGATTGAGAGACAGCCCGAAATGACCTGCTCTGGTGACAGACTGGCCAAACACCATAATTGTTGTTCTAGAAACCTCATCCAATGACTGAGGGAACTGGATGCAGAGATCCATGGTCAGGCCCCAGGTGGAGCTACAGGGGTCCAATTGGTGAGAAAAAGGAGGGTTTGTATGAGTGAGAATTGTTGAGACCAAGGATGGAAAAAGAACAAGGACAAATAGCCAAACGAATTGAAACACATGACCTATGAACCAATGGCTGAGGAACCCCCAACTGGATCAGACTCTCTGGATAAGTGAGACAGTTAATTAGCTTGATCAGTTTGGGAGGCATCCAGGCAGTGGGACAGAGACCTGTCCTCAGTGTATGAACTGGCTGTTTGGAACCTGGGGCTTATACAGGGATACTTGGCTCAGCCTGGGTGGAGGGGACTGGACCTGCCTGGACTGAATCTACCAAGTTGAACTCAATCCTCAGGGGAGTCTTTGCCATGGAGTAGGTGGGAATGGGGTGTGGTCTGGGGGGAAAACAAGGGGGGGGTACGGGAGGGAGGAGAACATGGGAATCCATGGCAGATATGTAAAATTAAATTAAATTACAGAATAAAATTTAAAAAAAGTTTAATGTTCAAAATCACTTTTGAGATTTATGCACTCTCTTAACATTTATTCCCTATAAAATCTAAATACAATAAACAGATCACATAATTCCACAATATTATAGCCCAGTATATGTATTACTATTCCAAAACTTAGACGAGGGAACCAAGTCAGGAATTATTGGCCTAAAGATCGACCAAAAACCAGCTGGATAATCTCGTCAATGAAACTCCATGTCTGATGTCAAAATATTCATCAGATTTACAACTCCATTCAGCTTTGTGCCTGCAACACACTTCTTTCTTTTGGCCTGGTTCCACTCCTATTCTTGGCAGGTATTCTAAGACTCTGGCATCTCTAACATCTTAGGGTCTCCAAAGCAAACCAGGCTTCATCTTCACAGCTTTGCCCAATGGCCTCTCTGAGCCTCCATTACTGGACACCCATGGCTTCAGTGACTTTGTTCCATAACTCCTTTGTTTTATCCTGAATTCTAAACCCAGAACAATGTGTCCATATCTGCCAAATTCTTGTGCTTGTCATGGCTCAACATGACCCCCTCATTCAATTGCATCATCTCCAGCTTTCTGTCTTTCACTGCCTGAGCTTAGCTCTCCTAAATATTGATCTGTGGACAACCATAACCTTAAGCTAAGAGATTCGCAAGTCTCTGACTTCCCAATGTGGAGATTAAAATTGTGTCTCACCACACTCAGCTCTAAGATACTCTTCAGTTTCTTTCTACAAACTGACAACTTAGCTGAGGAGGATGTTGACCTGAGATCACAACTCCCTTTGTTCAATTTCCTAATCCATTTACCTCCTTGAACACAGGAATTAGCTCCATCCAACTTCCTGGTAGTCTTTTTCTCCTAAAATTTTACTTTTTATACTGTATCCTGCCCAGCTTGCTCCTTTTTTTATACATCTTCATTAGAGTTACCACTAATATCCACACAATGGAGTCTATACAAGGGGTTTTTGAGATTTCTTCTGCCTACAGAATTACTCCAAAACTCTTCAATTAAGTCTCAGGCAGACTCCTTAGACAATGGCAAAAGGCAGTGACATTCTTCATCAAAATATCACTATTGATCTCTGGGAAACACACTGAATTTTTCTCTTCTGAAAATATTTGTGTGAACCCAAGATAGTGCATCAAACCACACCCAGCACCACTGTATTTCAAGCTGATAATATGTCTAATTAAGCAGCACTTAAAATGTTCAACTGCTTTTCTATTCACAGACCAAACAAATGCATGAACAGGCATTTGACAACAGTACCCCACTCCTGGTACCAACTTCTGTCTTAATTAAACTTTGTATTGCTGTTAAGAGACAACTTGATCATAGCAACCCATACAAATGAAACATTTAATTGTGGTTGCTTGCTTACAGTTTCAGAGATTCAGTCCATTATTATCATGGTGGAGAGCAGGGTAGCATTCAGGCATAGATATGTGAGGCTGGAGAAATAGCTGAGAGTCCTACATCTTTCAGGCAACAGGAATTTGACTGACTCACTAGACAGTATCCTGTGCATAGAAAAACTCAATGGCCAGCCCCACAGTGATACACTTCCTCCCACAATGCCATACCCACTCCAACAATGCCACACCTCCTAATAGTGCCACTCCCTGTGAGATTATGGGAGCAAATTACTTTCAAAATACTGCATACAACTCATGGGCATATAACCAGAATATACTTCATCAAACCACAGAGATGCCTCTGCAACCAAATTCATTACTGCTCTGTTTTTAATAGAAAAAAATCTTAGAATTCCCTCAACAGAATAAAGGATGAAGAAAATGTGATTTATTTACACAATTCAGTATTATTCAGCCAAAAAAGATATCATGTAAATCACAGGTAAAAAGAACGATTCCACAAAAATTCATCCTGAGTGGCGTATTCCATTGCAGAAAGAAGATATGGTATGCATTATTTTACATGAGGATATTACCTTTTAAGCCAATGAAACAAAGGCTACAATCCATAGATACATAGAGGTTAAGTATGGTATAACAAAATGGACCAGAGGGTAAAGATATAACTCATTAGCAAATAGAAACACAATATATCATTAGGGATGGATAGGGATATGGGACATAAGGAACAAGTTTGAATAGAGAAAGATGAGCAGAGCAATAGAGGGAATATAGTGAAAGTCACCTGGAATAAAGGCCTTTTGAGGGAAACAGTTTATATATTTGAAGATGATCTAAGTGAAATAACCAAATAATAGAGAAGACAGAGTCTCACATGATCACACTTGTGACCAAATGAAGCCTCCTGTACTATGATTAGATTGCATCTATTTGAGTTGGTGGCCAAAAGGATTCCAGAGGAATTCCCAAACAAACCAGGATTCTGCCAAGTATATAGGCAATTCTACACAAGATTATGGTAAGGACCCATTTATGAAGAGAACATATACACATCACTTTGAATATGGAGAAGTTGAGCTAGTACTTGAACAGAGCCTTCACATTCATGATATAGTGTCATTGATACAGAGAAATACACAAAAGGCTACCAAATGAGGAAGGAAATCACCAGTCAGCTACAAAATCTTTGATATACAATAATGATCTATCTGCAAATTATGCTAGGGCCATAGTAGTACAAAGCTTGGGGTGTAATCAACTAATATCAGATTTAACCTAAGGCCAATTCTGCCAGATAGAACCCATATACAACATTTATTTTGATGCTAATTCCAGAAGCTAAATAGACCTAGGTAAAATCCAGCAATATTGCTTTAAAGAAAAGTAGCAATAAAATTACTTCTGAGGAAATTCTGCTATAATTATAGTCCAGTACCTTGATCTATCTTTATCTTATCATAGGAGCTTCCTCTTGAAAAAAAGGAAACAAATACCCACAGCCCAATATTATGAAGAGAGAGGGAGAGAGAGAGAGACAGAGACAGAGACAGAGACAGAGACAGAGACAGAGACAGAGACAGAGACAGACAGACAGACAGACAGACCTTGGACCTTACATCCCTAAAGGGGATGTCTCTAGCAAATGCCTTCTCTGAAGGCTCATGGAACCCTTCAAACAAAGAGACTGAGAAAGTATATGAGCCGAAGGAGTAGGAGCACACCAAGAAAAGAGTTCATATGAACTCACAGAGACTTAGGGGTATGCACAAGAAGTGAATGTGTCTGAACCTGGTATTTTACTGTATTTTATAACTTTCAGTTTTATGTTTTTGTTGGATTCCTGAGTGTAGGAACAAGTGGGTCTCTGATTCTTATGTGTGCTCATTGGCTGTTTTTTTTTTCTGTATGTTTGTCTTCTCTAATCACAATATGTTAGGTTCATTTTATCTCATTTTATTTATTATTATGCCTTAGAAACCTGTTTTTTCTATTGAGAGTTAGAACAGAAGTGGATCCAGATTAGAGGGGAAGTGAGGGAAACTGTTAAAAGTATAGGGAAGTAAATATATAAGGGATATATTATTTAACAAAAAATAATCTGTTTTCAATACAAGGATTTTTTTCAAAAAATGTTAACCTATTATTTTAAGATAATGCCAATCAAAGTTCTGCTGACATAATACACATATAGAAAATAAACTACCACAATTTTTAAGAAGTCACAAAACACTTTAAATACCTAAGGCAATCAAATGGAGCTAAAACAAGCTAGAAAATCACAAAACTTGACATCAAATTATACTACAGAGTCAAAGTGAAAATGACAGTTTGGCATGGCATAAAACCAGTCAAACCTGGAGAACAGTATGGAGAACCTGGACATGAACTAGCAAAGCTATAGCAACCCAATTTATGAGAAAAACTGAAGTAGTAATTTTACAAAATGTTTCAGCTAAAAAGATCTTTTATTTTCGTAGATCCATAGCAGAATTTTAAAGGTATTTTTAAGTGCTACAAATACTGCTCAAATGAGTGAAGAAACAAACAAACATGAAAAGGCATATTCTAAATTCTTTGGATGTTCAGAATAACTCAACAGGTATTTCTGCAGAAGAACTGCAAGCTGTCTTTCAGAGAAGAAAAGGCTAAATAATTTTTCTGATACTGGTGTATGAGGAAGTAGTGGATGGACCAGGGTCTCTAGAACACAAGTTTATGGCCAATCATGGTTTCAGTCTTCCTTGCAGTTAGAATGTGCATCTATGAAGGTGTCTGTGGAATCACCAAGCAGTCAAGATGCCCTGACAGAATGAAAGCCTCAAGAAGTGCAGTTTGATTGGTTTTATTATCTGATTGGCTAGCTCATGTGCATGTCAGGTGGGCGACAGGAATAATCTAGTAGCTGTAACTCTCATGGAGGCTCCTAATTTAACCAGCTGACAAAAATTGCATGTTCACTTTGATTAATCTTAGAAAGACAAGGTGCTACCTACTTAAGTTTCTGTATTGATCTTCTGAGGGTGATGTTATGTAGAAAACTGGATCTCCCACAGAAATATCATTATTCATGTACTTTAAAGAAGATTAAATTATTTTTCTTCCTAATTCATATCAAGGTAAGCCTGTAGATAATGGAGCAAGGATTCATAAGAACAAAGGGTCCAAAAGATGGAAAACACAGAGAAATGAAGGGAGTGATGTTCACCAGCCACCAACTGTGATTATACAAAAGAGCAATGCAGCCTCGTAAGATCAAGGAGAGACTATAAAATGCAAGAAAGGTAGACACCAAGACCAGAATCTTCTGGGTGGCTCTGGACTCAGGTGATGTTCTATTGTAACCATGAGAGCTGCGGATATGTTGAACCCTTTTCTTGTGTCTGTACAGAATAACAATCATGGAGCTGCTGGACCAGGTAATCAGCACAGAAAAGAAAACTTCAAGAGACACCACCATTGCTGCATATAATGAGTCACTGATCTCATCACTCCCTATAGTAGAGCAGTATCCAAAATCTCGTTTTCCTGTTATATTTTTGCTATTAAGTTTGATAAATGGGTACACAAATAAAACGAAATGTATTAACATGTAGAAGCCCCAGAGGAGGGAAATGGAACAGCCAATAACATTTTCAGCTTTGACTTTATAATCTTTCCAACATAATTCCCTGGGTCTGACAGTCATGGCCTGGAAGACGCTTAAGAGACAGGTGGTGCCAATGGACACACTCCGGCCAACTGTTTGAATGTATATTAGGATCCTGCACACCAAATCATTGAAGAACTGCATCAACCCAAAAGCTGCCATTGTGTGGGGCACTCCTAAAGAGATTATGGTCATAGAATTGGCTGTCATTAGGTGTAGGAGAATCAAATCTGTGGGCTTTAATGTGCATTCTCTATAGTAAAGGACTAGATAGTAGAACATAAGAGAAACATTTCCCAGAATTCCAATTGTAGTTTGTGATAAGAAAATAATTCTGATTACCAGAATCCAGAAGTCCATTCTGTGATTCAGAACAATGTCCTTTAGTTTATGTCCCAGCTAGTTCTCTGGTCAAAATGAATAAAAACAAATGCTTATAGCTTGTGGTAAAAAGAAAGCACCTTTAAACCATGGAGCTTCTGATTAGCTTAAGCAGAGGGCCATTTAAAGTAAGAAATTCATGGCCAGCCTAGAGCACATAAAAAGATCTCATCCCAAAAGTTTTGATAGAAGTCATCACTTTCTGTGTATGTCACTATGAATTTGCTCAATACCTCAGAATGCACATATTAATGGAAGAAGAAACATTAGTTTTCATAGAAAATCCAAAATTCAGGACAATATGATTTTTGCCTGTGAGAAACAAAGAAAAGTTAAAGCCCATATAAACACACATTATTCTGGAAAATACTGATATTTGCTAATCATTATGTAAAAGAATACAAATTCAATAAAGCCTACATAATTTAATTATATTGATTATTATTGTATAGCTTAACTAAAATTAAAACAAAAGTAATGAGAAATTTAAAATACCAATTAGAATGTATCTATGGTCCTGTTACAGGGCAAAGATTCCTCCCTCTTTTCTAAGGTGGAGGCATTTTTTATTTCACCCACACTGAACTTCCCTTTCTCACAACCTTCATCATCTCTTGGGAAAGTATCCAACCCTTTTCTAAAAATTGGCAGTCATAATGTGTAGTTAACTGTATGTGTTTGAATTATGTTAAACTGCTAGTTAGCTTTAATTCCCCCTGCCAATTGCTAATGAGGATATACATTTTCTTAGTTCTTTGTCTTTTAAAGCTCATTGTAAAATGCATTTGAGGCAGCTATGTGAGGAATGCTTCTCTTCACGCAGTTTCTTACTGTTGACTCTCAATTTAAACTTTGATGTTCCTGAATGGTCTTCGGGTCTCAAACTTGTAATTGTCTTATGTATGAAAAAAATTACTAAGAACACAAAACATAGGAATGAGTGTTCAAGTGAAAACTTACATCCAAATAATTTAAGAGCTATCTATTATGAAAATTCACAGCACATAGACAACACATGCATATGTGCACATCTGGTTAGGTATCTTAGAGAGGAGGGGACATCTAAGTTTATGAAATCTCAAAAAATGTATAACAGAACAAACATAGACAAAATATTCCAGGAAAAGAGTCACAGATAAAGATAATATCTGATAAATGATAGCTACTGGGGTAATAGAGTCATACTGATCTATTGAAACGGTGTCTGGGATAATCATGCATCTCTCCAAAATCTAGGGTAGAAATTAAAGGAAGACAGGCAGTGGGTCAGACAGCCCATCAGTGCAGAAGGAGAAAATTATCAGGATACCATACACTGTTCCTGTAAAAGAAGGAGTCTGTTAACCCTTCTCTAGTCAGATAAGGTCCACTGCAGAAGCAGGCAGTGCATTTGTGAATTAGTACCAGGCTGAACCAAGCATCCCCAGGATGGACACTTTTGCCTTTTCACACTCAACAATCATTCAGAGACAGACAGCTAGAGCTGGGAAAGAACTAACAGTGGAAATTGAGTAGTTTAAGCAGAGTGGGAAAATGAGCTGAGATCCTAAGAAACTACCAGATAATTACAGTCTCCCCTTCCCCATTCACTGGCATTGTTGAACACCCTAGGAAATGGTTACAGAAGAAATAGAAACCACTCTATTAGGTGATATAATCCAAGTTCATAAAAACAGATATCACTGTGCCAAGTGTGATTTCACAGCTTCTAACTTTTGGATAGGTGTGCTTATGTAAAAGTGAGTGTGTGTAGAGGGCAGAAAAATTGAGACATTAGAGGGTTTCAGTGTGGGATGAGGAGGGTAAACAGTACGTGTATTCTGGAAGGGAAAGAAGGAATAATGGACAGAGGACATTATAAGCTTGGAAGTGTGCTGCTGGCCACAGAAATATATCATAAGAACTCTGCTGGTTATGGCAATGTCACTACCTGGAGAGATCAAGGAATTCCTTCAGAGGAAGCCAAATTCCAAGAAGCTTTTGGTGTACTTGGCTTGTTATATATCAGCTGCCTTCTGTTATGAAAATCATGTGTGCCTTCATAGTTTTCCCAATTGATTTTTCCCTAAGAAGGACTAACAGTGTGGACTGATCACATTCCAGGTATTTGGAGAACAGCCTCAGGAAAGCCTTTCTCTAGAATCAGATACCTCCTTTAGCCATTTTCAATGACTAGCAGTAATAACAATCCACATGAAAGTCTCCTAATTTAAGGTAAATTCCACAAAGAGACACCGCCTAGGTCAGGTGGATGCTCAGTAATAGCTTTACACAATTTAGCTCGGACCCTCCTTTCTTACTCCTTACTAACTTTATAGACTTCTAACTCCTTACCTAACCACTTCTAGGAATATTTAGATAAACTGTGTGTTAACACCTATACTCAGCCAGAGCCCCAGTTCAAACCTCCCTGTAATTATCATAATTGACAGCATCCAGCCAGGTACATCCCCCGTTGGAGGGAAGTACCTTATCAGAGATACCTCTGTACTCTCTAAGAACAGACTTAAGCATCCAGGCTACCCATTTGAGAAGGCCTGGGGGATGTGCCAATTAAGCATTGCTTCCTCCTTTCCCAAACCTTACCTTTAGTTCCAGATCTCCCTTTAACTATCACCAGAGGCATCTAGCTGTACACAGGTTGCCTAGCGACTGAGCACACTTGCCCCCACCGTGCAGAAAAATGTCAGATAGCTTGGACTAATAGGAGCCACAGGAACAAAGCAGACAGTTTTATTTTCTCCCATTGACCTAGCAACTTATAGATTCTTAACAGTTTCTACTAATCACGTTTAAGACTATAGTTGAGCACATAAGATTCCCTCTTCTTAGATATTACCCAAATTTAGCCTTTAGTTAATTCATTTCCCCATTGGTCACTTCCCTTTGGGGTTGTAAATGATAATGAACTGTTATTGCCTCTCAGTGTGATTCTTATCATCCCTCCATTTGACCCTGGAAGCCTGGATTTATATACCAGGACTTCCAGGGCACAAGGGATGGAGAAGAGAAAAGGGTATGAAAGAACTAGATGGGTAAGAACTTGTGAGGAACAAACTGAGATGGGGAAGAACTAGATTGAAGGACCAGAAGAGAGTACTAGAGGAATGAGATGGAAGATGAGGAAAAGCCAGATGGGGAAGTACTAGCTGGGTAAGAACAAGCTGAAAAGGACCTAGGTGAGGCAGAATTAAGATGAGAGAATTAAGATAGAACTTAGATAAGTGTAGAGAGAAATCAGGCAAGAAAGGGGCTAGGCACAAGAACAGAACTGAAGCTGTGTATAAAGGATATTATGCTAGAGGAATTTAAAGCAAATGGACTATAGAGCTCGGTGAGGCAAGATTCTATTTCCTGAAAATAGTCCTTGCCGTTAGTAGTTCTCTCTCCTGAGCCCCTAGGATGTATAATATTATGGCTGGTCCCTCTAATATTATACAAGAGAAGAGAACTGTGGAATGGCAGAAGGGGAGAATTTGGGGCCAATAAAAAACAGGAAGTAAGAAAATGCCTTAAGGAAAATTGCTACTTTTTAAACAAATAAAGCATAGAGAATAAAAAAACAAACCAAACATAATAATCATCAATTAAAAATAATGAAGAAAATATTAAAATTACTAAATTTTGGTGTGCATTTGGATGAACTAGAGATCATATGCCATGGCAATGTATGTGAATGTCCTGTGACAGAAGTTTGAAAATAGGTTATATCCACTTAAGTTGAGCTAATGTAATTCTACACACCAGTATTCATACTCCTTTTTATTTTTTACAATGCTCTATTCATTTCTTAATTTTTTTTCTGAGAAATATATGATTACAATTTAATTTGTGGTTCAAATATAAGTAATATTTTTAATCTATAGATCAATGTCTTTAGTTTTTGGAAACATAATTTTACCATTTTTTCCTCCATCTCCTTCCAAGTAATAACACATAAACTTCCTCTCATATTCATGACCTCAGACATTTGCTTATTGTTTTCACATTAATATGTGTGTTTGTGTGTGTCTGTGTGCATGTTGTCTATTTAATGTCAATTGTATTTGTCTGATTTCAGGGTTCACCCATTGGTACTGGATAACAAATTAGGGGATTCTTCCCTGGAGAAGATTATTTCCTTCTATTCTCAGCAATCCATCCATGCTGTAGGTCTCACCCATCAGCAAAGAAAATTCTCTGCCCTAGATTCCCATTGCCAGACATGAGCACATACTTGAGCTTCTTTCCTTTGCTAGGTCTGCTGCACAGACTGAAATTCAAAGTACTCACCTGACTTTGGACCTCTGCAGCATGGTGGGTTCATTTGGCAGAGCCTGACTCTTAATAAGCAGAGCTGTGTGAGAGTCACCTCAAGCCAGAAGTAGAGGTCTGTGACTCTGTGACCTCACCTCCCTATAGGACTACAATTTTCAGTTCACCTACAGTGGGAATGACAGACTGGCTTTGGGAGACCAAATCATTTGTTTAGGCAAACCATTTTCCAGTTGGTAATTAACAAAGGCACTTGAGACTTTTTTTGTGAATATCTCCAAAGAGGCAAGGTGTTTTGAAGGGCATTGAGTTTTCATCACCTCTGAGGGTTGACTGGTGTCCTATGGAAGGTGCTAGAGAGTTGGAGGTCAGATTCATGGCAAAGTTACAGAAGTCTCTATGTCCCATTGGACCCAGGTTTCTCTGACTTCTTCCACCACAGTCAACTTAATTGCTTTTTAAAATTTTAGAATATTTACTACTTAATGTTTCCTTAAGTGTTAATATACATGCATTTGTGTTTTAGTCAACCCCACTCCACATTATCTCCTTTCTAAAATTTACCCCCACCCCACTATTCCCTCTAAATATCATGTATCCATTCAAAAAACAAAACAAACAAACAAAGGGAAAAACACTGAGAATATTTAATGAAGGTAATATGTGATTAGTGTATGGGCATCTTTGAAAGCATTTGTAGACTCTCAAAAGTGAAATCCTTACTGAAATGTGACACTTTCTTTCCTGAGGTCTTCTGTTCCCAATACCTCTTCAGCTAGGTGTGAGACTTCATGACCACCTCCACTCAGCTTGGATTTTGTCTAACTTGATTTTGTGCAGGTTTTCTGCCCTCTGTCCTAACGTGTAAATTCACATGTGTAAGTGCTCTGTTCTTTCTGAACAAACCCTTTTTCGTTGGAATCATCTACCACTGCTGGTTCTTACATTCTTTCTGCCTCTTCTTCCATGATGATCCCTGAGTATTAGAGGGAAAGTTGTGGTATGGATGTATCATTTTTAGCTTGGATCTACAGAGTCTCTTATTCTTAGCACCTTGAATTATTGTGGGCCTGTGTGTTAATCATCACCGACTGAAAAAAAAGAAACTTTTCTGATGAGGATTGAGGGAGAGAGTAAATCTCTAAGTACAAAAACAGGAGCTTATTGGACAGTTTACTAATGCATTCATTTAGTAAAATTATAATATTAAGTTCTTCCCTAGAGTCTATATAACTCTCTAGCTACATATTCTAGTCCATGATGATGGTCCTTTCATGTGTTCCATGTTGTGATGTGGGGCTTCAATTCAATCAAGTGGTTGGTTAATCCTATGACGTTCATGACACAATTGCACCAAGCTTGTTGTTGTTTCAGCTCTCAGAGTTCATATTTGGGTACTATTGATGATTGCTTCCAGCTCTGTGAAATCTATTCAGTAGGTTTAAAGCTGCCATCTTGACTTCTCCATGTTCTATGACTCAAGTATATGGTACCTTCTGCAATAGGGTCTTACTTCCTATGGACAATAGACTACTAAACATTACAGGCTATTGACAATCTTCTTGTTTATCTTCAATTGATTTCTTAACTTTCAAGCTCTGACACTGATCCAGTTTAGAGTACTCAGCAGAGGAAATAGTCAGTTCTGGGGAGACTATCCAATGAAGTAGGAATAAAAGGAAAAGCATGAAGTCACAGTGAGTAATGCAGATCAATTAGAACTCTTAGGACAATGAAATACAAATGGATTGTATAGTGATGGTATGAAAATATAATGGGAAAAATAAAAAAATATGGACTATGCTGGGAAACAAACTTTTTAAATCATTAAAAAGATCTTTTTTTATTTTTGAAATGTAAATGTAATTATATTATTTCCCCTTCCAGTTTCCTCCCTCAACTCCTTCCTGTGGACATCTTCAATCTTCCTCAAATTATCAGTCTAGCTTCATTTAATTGGTGTTACAAGGCACACATGGGCACACATACATACACTCACATATGTGCATACATACATATGTATACATATGTGTTATCAAATGCATAAAGACAACCTGTTTAATCCATATATTCTGAATTTTTTCCTAGTTCTGCTTTGTAACATTTCTTATTTTACATTGCTAATAAAGTAGGTTTTTGGCTGTTACTCCCATAGTTTGATAGTTGTTGGTCAACTCTCTTCAATCATTTGCCATAGATAGAAGCTAATGGTACCCTTATGTCTGTCACAGTGTTTCCAGAATCAAAGGAAGTCAGTGCAGACCCAAATGCCCTTGATTCCTTGGTCCTTCTTCTTCATACTCTTCAGCAACTGTCTTGTGCAACCAAGGCAATTTCAATTTTGCCTTCATTTAATTTTGAAGTTTTGGAAATTGATGCCAGCATCTTGATACACTGCACAAGAACTAAGCACTATGCCACAGCATGGGCTGCTCTTTTCAAAATTCATTTGTTTATTTTCTAAAAAATTATTTATATATTTATTTGTTTGTTTGTTTGTTTGTTTTCATCACAGCTACTGATTCCTCTCCCTCTTCCCTTCCCAGTCCCTCTGCACAATCCCCTGTCTTCCCACTCAGTGTGATCCAAAATCCTGTGTGATAAAGCCTTAGTCACCACCCTGCAGTGCTGTACTTGGAGGTACTGGAAACTTCTGAAGGTACAGATTATTAGTGGGAACTTGGGCCATTTAGGACAGACATTTGAAGAAATTAGAATCCTGGCCATTCTCCCTTTCCTCACTTTGTTTCCTAGGAGACATGAGGAGTACATATTTTTTCTTCCCTCACCATTTACTATCTTGCCTGAGGTGAAGATATTAGTGAAGGCAAATTCCTGTCTATTGAAAATTTATATATATATATATATATATATATATATATATATAGAGAGAGAGAGAGAGAGAGAGAGAGAGAGATTAAAACTTAGCAAAAAGGTGTTCAATTTACTTCATTTTTTAATTTTTGTGAGACAAGATTTCTCTGTGTAGTTTTGAATTCTGTCCTGGAATTTGCTCTGTAGACAAACCTGGCCTTGAACTCACAGAGATCCACCTACCTCTGCCACCAGAGTGCTGGGATCCTTTACTTCTCACAGCACACATAGATTTTTAATTAACTGAACAAGTTTTCTGACCTCTGTCCACATATTTAATTTATTTAGTTCAATGTTAAGTTCAAAGCACTAGATTTGAACAGAAGACTTATTTAGAATCATGTATAGATAACATACACTAACATAATACATATAAAATTTAATAATGATGGACTAGAGATAAAGGTGCTTGCTGTAAAGTCTGAATATTTGGATTGACTACCAAGAACTACTTGGTGAAAGCAGAGAATCAACTCTTACCAATTTTCTTATGACATGCACACATACAACATGAATTTCTCCAACATGCACATAAGACAGATAAAGAAAAACATATTAAAATGTAATAAATAATATGGTACTATCCTACTATGTGCAAATTTTATATATTACCTTGCAGCACAAACATCTCTATATATTCATTTCCTGAAAAAAAATCAAGAGCATGGCTTACGAAAGACAGAGCTTAGGGATACCATAATGGATATCTAATCCTCCTAACTTACATGTAATTTCAACACTAATAAATAGAATTAAATCTCATTATTTGATTTTTAAACATGTCACATACTTTCAAATATTCTAAATGGTTCAAATATGTCAATGGTATCATTTTCTTTAACCTACTTGATGCTCTATCTTTTTTTCATTTTTTAAAATTTATTTATGAAATTTAATTTTACAAATCAGCCACAGATTCCCTTGTTCTCCCCCCTCCTACCCCCCACCCCCCACCTTCCCCCCAGCCCACCCCCATTCCCATCTCCTCCATGGCAAGGACTCCCTCAAGGATTGAGTTCAACCTGGTAGATTCTTGATGCTCTATCTTTATTAGTTACAATTATCATTTATTTCTGAACAACAGATCCATATTGAAGACAAGAAATACTTGGATCCAATGTGCTTTCATGTTGAATAAAAATATCACTATTTTTGGTCTTTTTTAATACATTTGAACTAAAATAATTTTGTCACTTCCTCTTTGCTTCCCTGCTCCAGACTTTTTCAAGTTTCCCCTCTTCAACTCCTTCCATGCCCTGCCTTTCAAAAATTGATACTTTCTTCTTCCCCAATTACTAATGTTACATGTACATACCTATATGTGTATATATAAACAAATATAAAAATACATCTTACTAAGTCTATTTTCGCATTTCTGTGTATATGATTCCAGAACTGACCACTTTCTATTAGACAATCAGAGAGCTTGTCCCTGGGGAGAGGCAAGCTCTACCACCTTCTGTAGTTATCAGTAGCCTGCAGCTCCTTGTCCATGGGTGTGGCTGCAAAAAATCTCTCTTCCACATTTATGTCTACTGATATTGCCATTGTTAAGAACAACCATTTGGGGAGACCCAGCCTCACAGCAGTCTTTCTGGTGTTCTGGCTCTTTCTGTTCCCTTTCCTGTGGTGCTCCCTGAGTCCTACATGCAGGACCTGTGGTGTAGATGTACCCACTGGAGCTGGGCTTTCCACAATTTGTTGATCTCTGCATTGTGTACAGTTGTAGTTTTTCTGTGATGGTCCTGTTTGAGGGAAAGGAGAAGCTCATTTGATGAGGAATATCACTTATATTTATCTGTGGGTCTGACGTGGTAAGGGATTATGGTAGACTAACAAAATGCCAGTTGTAGTGTAACAAATTTTTCCTGGGGAGATATGAAAGACATGTCTTCTCATCAAAGATAGGAATGCCATGACACACCTAAGTATGGATACCACCAAAGACCAACGTAGTTGGGATTTCATGTCCAGACCTTGTGCTTTTTACTTTGTATAGTAGGGTCTGGTTCTAGCCTCTAGGGCAGTTAGAGTGTCCTCTGAGTGCAACATGGCAGTTGGAGGTTCTCAGGGGAGTGTCCAGGAGACTTGTGTGCCTCTAGTGGCTTATATATGTTGTCACCATTGTCTTTTCTTTCTTATCAGAAGCCAAATCCTAATACTCTTGTGAAACTGGTATTGCAAGACCTATATCTTTGAGAACTGTGTTCTTTCTCTCATTTATCATAATCATCATCATCATCATCATAATCATCATCATTATCATCATCAAACTGAGTTCTAAACTGACCCATATACCTTTAGATTCCTCTTCAAGCTTGATTATGTCCAAGATGCAGTTCAACACTCACATATCAGGTAAATTCTTCTTTATTTTCTTTGTTTCACATTAGGTACCTCTACAACCCACAGATGCAAAGTTTCTATAATCCATTTGACAATGCTCCCTTCTCTCAGTATGGAACCCCATGATGTCATAAAGGCAGCATTCTGAAACAATATGCAAATATCTCCATAGCAGACAGATACCTTGGAAGTCACCCTGCTTACACAAGTCTTCATTAGCCACCACACTCCAGGAAGAATCACTGATATGGTGTGACTTCAGGAAACTGAAGAGAGATAGCATGGTTTTGGCATTCTCAAAATTGTCTTGAAGCTCCAATTACCAAGATAATTAAAACTCAGTGATTGCCGTGTGCTCAACTTCTTTTTTTTTGGTTTTTTTTTATTATTATTATTATTATTATTATTTTACAACACCATTCAGTTCAACATAATAGCCACAGAATCCCCTGTTCTCCCCCTCTCGCCCACCCCTCCCCCCAGCACACCCCCCATTCCCACCTCCTCCAGATCAAGGTCTCCCCCGAGGACCGGGGTTGACCTGGTAGACTCAGTCCAGGCAGGTCCATTCCCC